TGAAAATGTATCAGCTACTACTACAGAGATTATTACGATACTAGTGCAGGAACTGAACACAACACACGGGGTTTTTCTCAAAAACACGTTTACTAGATTGATTGACTTGTATACATACATGTATCACTCTCACCTCAATCCTAGCCTCACACGTTCACGAGTCACACCCGATCTCGTGAACCACTCTCTACCCCTTAGCCCCTTGATACAAGATCTCCTTTTTGCTAGAAACCCTTATCCTTTTTGCTAAGAAATTGCTCTATGTGTGTTAAACGTGCACCCACGTTTTTTCACTCCTATTTATACACAATAGGACTTGACGGCTAACTTAGCATTCTTCTCCAAGTTTTGGAAGATATCAAATCTTCCCGAATATCCATCTTACCATAATCTTTGCTAATGATAAATGAAAATCTTCATCTTCCTAAATCCTCTCCAAGCTAAGTATATTTTCTGTCACTTAGCTTGTAGATTCGTTTTCCAAGGTTTTAAGTCATGAGCCCAAGCCCATCTCTTCGAGTCCGACCCGTTTCTCCATCAGCAGTCCGTCTGTAGCACTTTCCTGTAGTACTCTACACTAATACAGGAACTGCTCCAACTCATCTGCATCTTCATGTTTCAAGGACTGCCTCCAGCTCATATAGATCATCAAGCCACGTCGATCCTTGCTCGGTCCAGCCCACTCTTCAAGCCCATGAGGCCTTAAGCTCAGCTAGTCCGCTCGTACAACCGCCTGTAGTACTTCACGCCAACTACATGTCACTGGTACAACAGTTGCATCTTCAGGTTGATGTTCATGTTGGTCTACTCTTTCGATTTACATGTTCCCATAGCTAGTAGACGATACTCAGTATTTGCATCAAGTTCCTTGGCCTGCTAGAAGATTAAACATTATCGTACATGTGAACAAACTTGAGAGTAAAAAGGGTAAAAGAATGTGAGTATCACCTCTCTCCACATGTGTATTGCAGCTCTGCTTGATCTGTTTACTTATAGCAAATATAATTTTGTTGCACCATTAACCATCAAAACTTTAAAACGGACAAGAGGTACTAATATGCATATCATGATGTACATGCATATCATGACATATATTCTCTGAAAATTGCTATGAATAATCCAAGAAGTTCTTACCAAACTTTCATACAAAATCATAATCATAGTTGCTTAAAGTAAGGATGTAAAATAGAAGTAGACAATGAACATCATCCGATACTTAGTATCATCAACAATGAACTGCTTTGAGTAAAACCTCAATGTCTAATTAGAAGAAAACTGAATGAATTTGGAGATGAATATGAGAAATACCCCGTGGACAAAGTCAGTTGTTGTTCATCGATATAGTGACACAATTTAACTAAATCATAGTCATTTGAGCAAAAGGGGAACGAATAATCCACTGTCATCTCAGCATCTCCTTCAACGTCTTCAAAATAAATACATGGACCATCAATATTTTTTCTGAAAACACTATACCAAATCTCTTGGATGTGTGTTTGCGAAATTACATATGGCAGGTTACTGGTAACCAATGAAATTGGGGTGATTACCTATTTTGCAACCTTTCTTTAGCATCTTGAAGGTGTAAGTGATCCTCTTTTCTACTACCACCTTCTTATTTCCGTTCCCTATCCTCTTTTAATATAAGGTATACTTCATGTTGTATGTGAATGCAAGAGACTACATGAGTTCTTTTGCAGAGGTTTGCGGTTACACTTTTATCACAAGCACAAATACATACAACCATTTCATGACTGTAATTCTCATCTCTTTCACAAAAATGAAACATCTCTTGGTACAATTTCATCTGGAATATAAAATCTTGTTTCCCACTTACGAATCGTAAGAGGCATTGTAGGCCACCAAAAACGAATTCAATTCCACTGTAAGATGTATATTGAGTAATTTGTTTGGTAACAGATTTTGTTTAAAAATAACTTAGCATATGTATATATATATATGCATACCTTGGCTTGAGAGATTGGAGCATGTGATGTAAACACCATAATCGCTTGTAAGAGGTTCTAGAAGCTTTGTGTACGATATGGCTCGTTTGAAGACACAATCGATGTAGCAAAGCTTGCTCACGTTGCGTCTCCCATTCCATATATAAATCTCTAGCTCCGCATGTTTGTATCATAAGTTTTGTGGTCGACATTGATTAAGCCGTCGGAATGACAAGAGTAGACAATCTTAGTCTATAGAGTAACTTTCGATGGATCCAAACGACACATGCTTAGTACGAAGGGATTTATGACAGGGAAAGCAAGAGTGGCAAGTCACAGAGATGTTTGATGTAGAAGTGAAAGAATAAGAATGTGAGGAGATCTAAGTGTCTTAGGTCTCGAAGATGAAAGGGCGAAAAAACCTAAGAGGCCAGAGAAGTTATATATTTTTGCAATTTTATATTATATTTTATTGAAATGCCACGTGGCCTATTGTGGAGAGCTGATGTGGCAAAAGGCTGGAGAATGTCCTTCTTCTTTAGACTAGGAGACTCCCTACGTTATACGCGGGATAATATATTAAAAGATAAATTCTAATAA